GAGGGCAGTTCACCATTACCTTCACAAGGGCAACTAGGGATGGGCAGAAAATGCTGGCTAGCCAGTTACGCTCACATCGCACAAATGAAAAGAAACAAAAAACAACAGGTCCACTGCAGATGCCATCTCCCTGATCCTACATTCACCCCTGGAGCACCTGGATAACAAGGAGACCTACATCTGACTCTTTTTTATTGACTTCAGCTCCACTTACAACACCATAATTCCAACAAGACTCACCTCCAAACTCTGAGACCTAGGACTCAGCCCCTACCCCCCCACTTCAACCGGATCCTTGACTTCCTGACCCACAGACTGCAATCAGTAAGGACAAGCAACAACAGCTCCTCCCCAATAATCTTCAATACCGGTGCCCCACAAGGCTCTGTACTCAGCCCTTTACCATACTCCTTATACATTCACAACTGTGTGGCCAAATTCAGCTCCAATTCCATCAATAAATTTGCTGATGACATCACTGTAGTGGGTCGGGTTTCAAACAACGACAGGACAGAGTGCAGGAAAGAGACAGACAGCTTAGTGACATGGTGTAAAGACAACAATCTCTCCCTCAGTGTCGCAAAACGAAAGAGCTGGAGTTCGATTTTAGGAAGCAGAGTGGAGGTCTGTATGTGCTGAGATGGAAACGGTTGAGAGCTTCCAGTTCCTAGGAGTAAATACCACCAACAATCTATCCTGGTCCACCCACGTCAACGCTTCAATCAAGAAAGCACACCAATGGCTCCACCTCCTCAGAAGGTTGAGGAAATTTGGCATGTCCACAATGATTTTTACCAATTTTTATCGGTGCACCATAGAAAGCATCCTATCTGGATGCATCACAGCTTGGTTTGGTAACTGCTGTGCCCAAGACCACAAGAAATTACAGAGAGTTGTGAACACAGTCCAGTCCATCACAAAAACCAGCCTTCCTCCCATTGATTCTGTCTACACTTCCCACTGCCTCGGGAAAGCAGCCAACATAATCAAAGACCCCTCCCACCCAATTAAACTCTCTTCCACTCTCTTCCATTGGGCAGAAGATTCAAAAGTTTAAAAAGATGTACCAGCAGAGTTAAGAACAGTTTCTTCTTTATCATTATCGGCTTCATGACCGTCTCATATATTAGAGTTGATCTTTCTCTGCACCTTCTCTGCAGCTGTAACAATATACTCTGCATTCTGTTCTATTACCTTGAGGTACTTATGTAGGGTATGATTTGTCTGGTTAACCCACAAAACAATAACTTTCACTGTATCTTGGTGCATGTGACAACAATAAATCAAATCAAATCAGTTCAACCCCAATGTTTCCATCTAAATACTCCTTATCAGATGGACTACAATAGTTCAAGAAAGCCATTTGTCCCCACCACTTCCTGAAGAACAATTAGAGATGCACAACAAATTCTGGCCTTGCCAGCAATGCCCACGTTCCAAGGAAGAATTCTAAAAATAGCCCTGAAACCAGGCCGAAGAACTGAATTAAATGTCCTGGGTCTTGTGCTTTCTCTGTTTAATGGTTGAGTTGTCTTGTTTTCGTCGCTGCTTTGGCAAAAACATTATAAGATATGGAAAAACATGTCGGTCTTCAGTTTCAAAAGCAATGGAAATCAAAGACCAATTTGACAAAGAGACTGTGAAATGCCTGCTCCTTCTCCTCCCTCTCGATTAATTTCTATCCTTGTTCTTCTGCGTTTATTCAAGTTGAGAGATTTAATTAGATGGTCAGTGCAGGACACAACCAATCTCTAAACAAGTAGCACAGAAATCAAAGTAAATCATGAAATAATGATCGAGGAGCCCAGTCTGGGAATTAACGCTCTCACACAGTCCTTCAATTCATAACACGCACAATTTTCAGCCATTATGTAGTGATGTTAAGCTTAATTTATAGCAGCCTGTTGATTCTAATCTGAATGAAAAATAGCCTAGAATAGAGACAGTTACAAGTGACATTCAGTTCTGACTCAGTCAGGATGCAGGGAGGAAGACTGCATCAGCAGCACATTCAAAATTTAAGGTGAACAAATGAGGAACGTTAAGGTGTGTGCTATTCAGAGTAATAATATTTTTGAGTGAATTGAGGAAAGTTGTGACAGTGAGAGGGCTAGAGATGGAGAGATTAGGGCAAGATTATTGTCGGACGATAACTTGTTTCTTGTATCCTGCCCAGGCGTCTCCCAGCCAAGTATCTTGTTCGGCTTGCCCTACAATTTGTCTCCGTTTCAGAGGTACCTGAAGGTTCCCAGTTCTGTGTATTCAGTTAGATGAATAGTGACCACAAAACAGCAGACTGGATGCTTCAGTTTGTCCTCCTAAGGCAGTATAACACTCACTTGTGAATCCCAGGGCAGACAGACTTCAAAGCTACCCATCCAAGAGCGGGTAATTTGTTGCAGGAAGCCGCACAGCCAGCAGCTCTTGGCAACCCTTGAAAATTTCTGAAGTAACAATTGGGACTGGATCATTCCCAGATATAATGCTGATTTACAAGTTACTGAATCTGACTCTTTGTTTCCAGCCAAACAAATAAAATCATTCTCTTGATTCTCCATTTAGGGGATAAGGGCCATCACCACAGTTACCAGAACACACAGACCCAAAATCTCAGTGCTGAAAGCTCCTCAGCAATTGCAGTGGATTTTCTGCAATGTGTATAAAGGGCCATGACGTGGATGTGCTGATGTTGGACTGGGATGGGCAAAGTCAGACATCACACGACACCAGGTTATAGCCCAACAGATTTATTTGAAATCACCAGCTTTTGTAGAACTGCTCCTTTGTTGGGTGACGAAGGAGCAGCGCTCCGAAAGCTTCTGATTTCAAATAAACCAGTTGGACTATAACCTGACTTCTGTATTGAAAGGGAGCAGCCCTTTGAAATGATAATATCACAGTCTGAAATGTCATAAAAGGACTAGTTCCTCCAGCACCGGCTGTAAGGAAGGAAAAGGGAAAACTTGCATTTATATAGCGCTTCTCACACCCACCAACTTTCTCAAATTCCCTTCCAGTTACTTCTAATGTCTGCTCACTGTTGTAATACAGGAATTACAGCAGCCAGTAGGAGCACAACAAATTCCCACAAACTGCAACACAATAATGACCAGTTAATCTATTTCTGTGATGTTGATTGAGGGATAAATATTGGTCAGGACACCAGGGATAACTCCCATGGGCTTCCTCATGAGATTGTTTACATCCATCCAACAGGCAGGTGAAGCGTTGATTTAAAGGTGAAAGAAGATATCTTCAAATGTACACATCACTCCCTTAATCCTGTACCGGATTGTCAGTGTTGGCTTTTGGGCTCAAATCCCCTGTGTCAGGACTCATGGTGTAGTTCGGGAGCAACATTTCTGCCTCTGAACCAGGAAAGGGACAAAAATCATCAGCTGCAATAATGCTTCAGAGATGAAGAAGAAGGGTCTTTCTGAAGAAGGGTCTAGGCCCGAAATGTCAGCTTTCCTGCTCCTCTGATGTGCTTGGCCTGCTGTGTTCATCCAGCTCTACACCTTGTTATCTCAGCTGCAATAACGCTCCTGGCCTGGGTCTCTAGCCACACCCCAAACCCCTGATCTGAGTACACTAGCCCCCACTTCCCACCCTTCAAGAAGGGCATAGTAGGCCCCTGTGAGACCTGGTTACTGGGCCTCACGCTGAACTAATTACACAATTGAATCTCACTGCAGGGACTTTTCAGTGTATCATAGAATGTCTACATTGTGGAAGCAGGCCATTCAGCCCACCGAGTCCATACCAACTCTTGAACAATCTCACCCAGACCCACACCCCTACCTTATCCCTGTAATCCTGCATTTCCCACAGTTAACCCACCTAGCCTGCACATCCCTGGACACTATGGGCAATTTAGCTTGGCCAATCCACTTAACCTCCACATCTTTGGACTGTGGGAGGAAACCAGAGCACCCAGAGGAAACCCACGCAGACACGGGGAGAACATGCAAACCCCACACAGAGAGTCACCTGAGGGTGGAATCAAACCCAGATTCCTGGCACTGTGAGGCAGCAGTGCTAACCACTGAGCCACCATGCCTTGTAAGCTGAATACTTCAATTGTAGCACTAAGACAATGCTGCATTGTTAATGGCACCTTCTTTTGAACAAAATATTAACCTGAGGAATTATATTACAGTATAAATTCAAATTTCTTCTTATAACTGTTCATTCGACGACTGCCTACCCCAGTCTTACCCATGGACGCTGAAAGGCCTTGACCCAACATCCTGGTCAAATCTAAGCTCCTTTCTTCCAACTGAAGATCTAAGAGCCTCAATCCACATTGTGACCAAACTGCACATGACTTTGTAAATGTATACAGCAAACTATGTGAAGTGCCACTGCTAAGCTGAATTCAATAAATAAAGAATTCAAATAAATAACTTTTCCTAAATCATACGCTTTTTGCAAACAACTTGTGTAATATTGTGGGTTGAATTGATGTGGTAAATTATTGGTAAAGAGTTAGTAACTATAATGTTATGTGCATATATATCTAAGTATTTAAGATGGCATATCAATCATTACAGGCAGTCCCTGGGTTGTGAATGCATTCTGTTTTTGAGCTTGTTTGCAAGTTGAGTTGTACACAGCTCAGAACACAATGGAGGACAATATAAAAGAGCCATTTGCTAGCACAAAAAATGTTACGATCTTTAAAATCACACCCCTGTTTCGGTCACGTTCGTACGTTCAAGCATTCATAAGTCGCATGTTCATAAATCAAGGATCTATTGGACTGCAATCATTGTACTAGACAATAAAGGGTCTAAATCTGCAGCACATGGTGTGATCTGAGAAATACATTCAAAGAAAGTTACAATATTGTCTAAAAGATGATTACTTTGAACAACATATAACAGAATGTAACAGCACTAATGGTTCTTTCTTCCAAAACTATCACTTTGTCATTAAAAGGGAGAAATAAAAACAAGAGTGAAAACTGCAGGGAAGAGTCAATGATTATGTTGTCCTACCGGGCTCCGGGATGATTAGCTGTCCACTGGTCTGCGCATTCCCAGCATCATTCTCTGCCACACACTGATAAAAACCCTCATCTGACTTCACCAGGCCCAATACCCGGAGATTGCTGCCACTCTACAATACAGAGCAAACAGACAGATTACAAAATTATTTAACAGTAACAGCAAAATCTTTGCATTCCAGAAACAAACCAAGTGTCAACTTAGTTTTGTATTTTTTTTATTGAGAAACCAATATTTACTCAAAATAAATCCTGGTTAGGTTGTTAAGTGGCTAAATAAACAGTGAATGCATAGCTAAAAGGCGATAGATCTTCGTACATGCTGTACCTATTTCTGAATGAAACAGATCCAAATCATGTCAACTTAGTGACTGCACTCATTCTGTGCAGGTATTGTGTCTGCCAGTAAATTCACAGAGTCTTATTATTTCAGTCCTACAGATAGCTGCTGAAAACGGAGCTCTAAAAGGTGGTACTTAAGGCCTAATGCATGTTGGTGGACTTGATGTAAAAATTATTAATGGGCAGCCAAGGCTTTAACCTAAAACGTTTCTCTGAAGTTTGGATTGGGACAAGTGTTCATATCCAATTATAAAATCCTGATGATTCCTCCTTGTTCTCCTGCCAACTCCAACCCTGCTTCTTGGAAGGTACATGACATTTGCTGCTGGCCTGGCAGATGGCACACCAATGATATTTCACACACAGTAAGTGGTCTTTGAGAGAATTGCTGCTATCAGCAGGGTGGATGAAACGTAGATGAGGCCAAAGGTCTGAAGTCAAGCCCAGAAACTATCAAATGTTGAAAGTCATAGATCCACCTAACAGACACATATCAGAAACAAATTTAAGTAATTGGACTGTTTTAAAATATAATAGAAATTTAGTACAACACATGTACATGAAGGTAGTCAGTGTGGAAGACCTAATCCTCAGCAGGAAGTTTTGTTTGGCAACTCAGCATCCTCTGACTCTGATGTAAAGGTTTTTATCAAGGACATTGAAATCATTACAGAAGTACATGCTGTCCTGTCATACAGAGTGACATAATCATAGAATCCTTACAGTTTAGAAGGATTCAGCCCAGTGAGTCCACAATGGCCCTCCAAAGAGCATTCCACCCAGTCCCACTCCATCCCTGTAACCCTGCATTTGCTATGGCTAATCCAACTGGCCTACACATCCCTGGACACTGTGAGCAATTTAACATAGCCAATCCAACTAACCAGCACATCTTTGGAATGTCGGAAGAAACCAGAGCATGTGTAGGAAACCCATGCAGACATGGAGAGAACGTGCAAACTCCACACAGACAGTCGTCTGAGGGTGGAATTGAACCCAGGTCCCTGGCGCTGTGAGGCAGCAGTGCTAACCACCGAGCCACTATGCAGCCCCTTAATTGGAAAGGACAACAGAAAGGTGGAAGGATTTTAAGAACAAGTGTATTATTAACTGTAGGAACTTCCATCACTGGTGGTGGTAAGCAAGAGGGTTAGGCACAAGAGGCCAAAATTGGAGGAAGGAAAGTTCTAGGCTAATGTGAGACATCATCAAGATAGATTCATAGATGCATACAGCACAGAAAAGGCCCTTCGGCTCATTGGGCCTGCACTGAAATTTCGAACACTAAAGGCACACTAATCCCAATTTCCTGCACTTGTCTCATATCCTTGAATGTTATGATATTTCAAGTGCTCATCCAAATATTTTTTAAAGATTATAAGGTTTCCGGCCTCCTCTACCTTCTCAGGGACTGCATTCCAGATTACCACTATCCTCTGAGTGAAAATGTTTTTTTCCAAATCCCCTTTGAATCTCCTGCCCCTTATCCTAAAACTATGCCCTCTCATGATTGACTAAGCCAAACAACTAATCTCCATTCACCTTGTTCATACCCCTCATAACCTTATACATCTCAATCATGTCTCTACTCAGTCTTTGCTGCTCTGGAGAAAACAATCCAAGCCTATCTAGTCTCTCCTTATAGCTCAATTTCTCCACTGAGGCAACATCCTGGTGAACCTCCTCTGTAACCCCTCTCGTGCTATCACATCCTTCCTGTAGTGAGGTGACCAGAACTGCACACAATACTCCATCTGTGGTCTAATCCACAATCTGTACAATTCCAACATTACCTCCTTACTCTTACACTCTATGCCATGACCTATGAAAGTAAGTGTCCCATATGCCTTCTTAACTATCCTATTCCTGTGTTCTGTCGACCTCAGTGATCTGTTAATAATTATCCTAAAATCTCTCTGTTCCTGTAAGCTACCCAGTGTCTTGCCATTCATTAAATACTCCCTCATCTTGCTTCTTCATTCTAAATTGCACCACCTCACACTTATCAGGGTTAACTACCATCTTTCACTGGTCTGCCCATCTGACCAACCCTTCTATAGCTTCCTGTAACCTACAACCATCTTCGTTGCTATTAACCATTCTACCAATCCCTGGGTCATCTGCAAATGTGCTTAACATTTCCCCCACATTTTAATCATTTACATAAATAACAAACAATAAGGGTCCCAGGACTGATCCTTGTGATACACCATTGGACACCAGCCTCCAGTCACGTGAACAGCCTTCTACCATTACACTTTGTGTCTTATTACCAAACCAGTTTCTGATTTATCTCTCCAAGTTTTTCTAAATTCCAAATGCTTTAACCTTCTCAATCAGTCTCCCATGTGGGACCTTATCAAAAGCTTTGCAAAAATCCGCATAAACTATATCAACTGAACTTCTCTCAACCACACACTTGATCACATTTTCAAATAATTCTAACAAATTTGTTAGGCATGACCTAACAGAGCCATGCTAACTGTCCCTAATTAACCTATGCCTTTCCAAATGGCTATTAATTTGGTCTTTCAGGATTTCCTCCAATAGTTTCCCTACCACTGATGTGAGGCTCAGCAGCCTGTAATTTCCTGGTTCATCTCTATCACCCTTCTTAAAAAATGGAACCACATTAGCTGTCTTCCAGTCCTCTGGCACTTCCTCTGTGGCCAGACAGGAATTAAAAATTTGTGTCAGAGCTCCTGCAATTTCCTGCCTCTCCTCCCAGAGCAGCATCTGATGCAATTCATCTGGGCCAGGGGATTTGTTTGTTTTTAAGCCCAACATAGCTTCCTATTTCTTATATCAAACTGTGAAAGTTCCTCACAGTCCCTTTTCCTGAATTCCGTACCTACATTCTTCTTTTCCAGAGTGAAGGCCGAAGAGAAACATTCATTCAAAACCTTTCACATATCCTATAGCTTTGGTCCCTAATGGGCCCTGATGGGCCCTACTCTTTTCCTGGTTAACCTCTTCCATTTTATGTATTTATAAAAATGACCTATTTGTAAGCCTTTTCTCATGCCCCCTTTTTGCTCTTCTAACTCCTGTACTTCCTGTTTTCCTCTAGGGCCGGAGCGGAGTTGCTCCATTTAATTTTGCTAAAAACCCTAGACGTCCAGGGTTCTCTGAACCTATTGCTCCTACATTTCCCTCTAAAGGATACATGTTGGGAATGTTGTATTCTCCCCAGCTCTTTTTTGAATGCCCTCCATTGTTCCGCTATAGTCTGCAAGGAGCTGTTCCCAGTCTACTGTGGTGCGATTCTGCCTTATTTTAATAAAATCTGCCTTTTTCCAATCCAAAGCTGCATTTTGCAGGTCATCATTTCCTTCTCCAGAACAAATTTGATCCGTACCATGTTATGGTCGCTATCACTAATATGTTCTCCCACTGTCACATTGAATGCTTGTTTCTTTCCCCAGAACTAGATCCAGGACTGTGCAGACCCTTGTTGGGCCTTCCACATATTCACCCAAAAAGCTCCCCTGGATACATTTCAAGAAATCTGCCCCCTCTAGACCTTTAGCACTATGACTATCCCAATTTATGTTGGGGAAGTTGAAATTCCCTTATATAATTGCCCGATTATCACTCTTACATACCTCTATGAATGGTCTACATATTTGGTTCTCTATTTCCCGCTGACTCTTTGGGGGCCTACAATAAACTCCCAGTAAAGTAGCTGCCCCCTTAATATTTCTGAGTTATAACCACAAAGCCTTGTTTGAGGACCCTTCCAAGATAGGGATGGACAACGATAGGTCAGGATATAAATGTAAGCTCGTGAGCTCGTAAATTGAAGTGTTCAAGGAATGGATAAGGTCATAACAAATAGGTACAGCAGTAGGCCAATTTTTATGCTTCAGCTGAATTTGACTCTAGCCATCAATGACTGGAGGTGAAACTTAGCACTATCAACTCTGTAAAGTTTAGAATCGCAATTTCCTCACAGAACCACTGGGACAATTATTTGTTATACCTGAAAAACTGTACTGTCTGGTTCTTTCTCTTGCTGTGTTCTAGTATATTTTTTTTCATGTGAATATAATAATGTGGTTGTTACTCTCAACATACACTGAAATTGGTTTCAAATTCCACCATGGAAATCTAAGAAAGGTTGATGTGATGGCAAGGACTGGGGAGTGGGGATAAAGGGTAAAAATTCTCATTTCTAGCAAAATCTGATTCATAAAAGCTATTAAATGAGTCTTCTTCTTTCTGCAGACTCATCTGGAATGCCAGTTCCAGATCACTTGACAAACACTCTCCCAGCAGGAGAAACCAGGAGATAAAACACAATCACACCAGCTGAGGTTACCATGAAGGACTCTCCTTCTCATTCTCTTCCCTCGTCTGAGGTGTGGTGAGCATCAGGTTAAATTATCATCAGTCATTTCTCGCTAATGAGAGAGCAGCCCTATGGTCTGGTAAGACCATGGTGGCTTTACCTTTATGTTTACTTGGAAATGGATATGTACATTGGACGTCCATTTTGAAGTCTTCAAGTCAAGTTAGGCCAGAATGCATCATTCACACATTTTACTGCTTTTTTTTAACCTTCTGGGCTCTGAATGCTATCTGAAATGCATGAACCACTCAATTGTAACAACTTTGAGCTGAAGAATTCAACTGTTTTGGGTGGTAGGGTTTCCCAGCCTGCCACCTGTAAATTAGCATAGAAGAGATTTCCACTGTTGCTGGGTGACCCTTGATGGCATTTCCATCCATCACATCGGACATTTCCCAATTTCCAAGAGCTACTGGTTAAACTGATTGACCAGTGGCCCGCTGGACCAAACAGCACTGGATATTGCAGTGGACAAGATAAGGATCACTAAAGTCCTGGTGTCTGGGACTAAGTAAATGTGGTGGGTCGCAGGTTGAGAAAGGAAAGTGAGGCCTGTTGGGAAGGATGGGGATGGGATGGGCAACCTGGCACAGAGGTGGTGGGTGGCAACCTTAGAGGCCAGACCTTGTTTGGGGGGTGCTGGGGATAGAGTCTCCTGATGTTGAAGGGAGATGATTGATTCCTTCCTACCCAAGGCCTGAGCAGGCTCACTTCCTGGATATCAGCCCACTTTCTGCTGAGTTCCTCCCATCAGCCCAAGATCGGAGTCCTAGATGGGAATCAGTCTTTAGTGATCATTAATTGGCCACTTTGGCCCTGAACTAGGGCAGGGCCAGGTCAAACAAAGCCTTGTCTGTCTCACTGTAAAACTGTGGACAGGTTGGGGGGGCCTGGAGGACAGACGGGAAGACGACCTGAGGAGTTTTGTGAATCCACTTGCCTGCAAATCCGCCATGTAAAAACATAGCCAATGTATCGTGGAATGGTTACAACAAAAGAAGAGGCCATTGGGCCCATCATTTCCATGCCAGCTTCTGCAAGAGCAGCCCAGTCAGTCTCACTTTCCCCATAGTCCTCCAATTTCTAATTTCCTTTAGATAATTATTCAGTTTCCTTTTGAAACCCATGATTGAACCTGCTTCCAGCATACTCTGAGGCAGTGCACTCCAGATCATAACAATTCCTGTGAGAAACATGTTTTGCCTCATGCTTTGTCAAGTTTATCAGTATCACCCAGTTCAGGAGCAAGTTTTTCACGCAGAGGGTGGTGCGTGTATGGAATGAGCTGCCAGAGGAAGTGGTAGAGGCTGGTACAATTACAACAATTAAAGGGCATCTGGATGGGTATATGAATAGGAAGGGTTTAGAAAGATTGGGCTAAATGCTGGCCAATGGGTCTAGATTAACTTAGGACATCAGGTCGGCGCAGACAAGTTGTACTGAAGGGTCTGTTTCTGTGCTGTACAACTCTATGATTCTATGATTTTTGTTAACCTATAATGTTATTGTTTGAAACTCATTAGAGCCTCACAAGGGACATCACACGGGATTTTTTATGACAATTGAGGATGGGCTTGAGAATCACTTTAATTTGCAGGTATTTTGTATTAATTAATTAAGACCACAAGATATAGCAACAAAATTAGGCCATTCAACCCATCGAGGCTGCTCCGTCATTTGATCGTGGCTGATCTCTTTCTCAACCCCATTTTCCTACTTTCTCCCCATAACCTTGACCCCTTACTAATCAAGAACCTATCCATTTCTGTCTGAAATACACTCAATGACTTGTCCTCCACAGCCTTTGGCGGCAATGAATTTGACAGAATAATCACCCTCTAGCTGAAGAAATTGAGGTTAAATTTAAGCTGCGTGGTAAAATTTGTATCCAAGCAGCAGAAATGTAGGTTCGGTGTATAGATTGTGAGTTCAAAGACATTGCGACTACTTCCGGATTGAATTTCAGCCACTCCCTCTCTAAAAGCTCTACGAGTGTACCTCCATATTGAAGGCTGCAATGGTTCATAAAGGCAGTTCACCTCCACTTGTGGGCAAATCAGGATGGACAATAAATGCTGGCTTAGCCAGCAATTGCCAAATCCCATGAATGAATAAGAGAGAAACTATAATGTAGGGTAGAACATTGCATAGAACAAAGATGTTACAAAGCAAAGCCTTATGGGGGAAATCAAACCATCAACATCAATCCTAATTTAGAATCTATCATGAACTATTTGCCCTTTTACCTGTACTTTCGAAGTTCTTTTTAAAATTAAAGAAATATGTCAATCTGATGAAGATTAATTCAAGCTACACAGATGAAAATGCAAAACAAGAAATCACAGTTAAGAAAAGTGAAATAGGATGCGATCTAATGTCCTTTACAGCTGAGTAAACAGTTTATCAAATGGGAATCAAACTTGGATGGTGTCCAAGCTATTAACATCACTGTTGATCTCTCCAGCTCATTGTTAAGAATGAAATTTTGGCTGGATGCCAGTGTTTCTATTGTCCCACTGAGAAATAAATCAGAGCTTTGCTGAGTCCAGTCTCACTTCGCATTTCTGCCCTGGCAGTCAGGACTGCTTCCTTCTATCTCTAGCTATGCTGTTGTATGAAGAGGTCCCAGTAAGCTGCCAATTTAAAGAGCAAGTGCCACAATTGGGACTTCAAAATCATCTTCGCTACTTTTCTGAGACCACTGTTAATGGGGTATAATTTTACAGGCATCAGGAACCCTTCAGTACCTCATTCCTTATGTGCGAGTGTGCAAACTACAGCAATTCAAAGAAGACAGCTCACTGCCACCCTCTCAAGCACTTTAGTATCTGCTGAGGTAGTGAAATGTAATGTGTTGTTCAAATGCAATCTCTTTTTTTATACAGACTGAGTTTTTTTGGAAGTGTTCACATCATCAAAACGCTTCAGTATTAACTGATGCGCTAATTAATAAATGTGAATACAGTTAAGTTTGAATGTGTTTGTGCTGAGAGCAGATATGTTGCTTGTAGGCTTATGAAAGTTATTTACTGGGTAACCTTTTAGCAGCAATGTCAAGATGAAGGCAAATTGTATTTCTTTTTATTTTTACTGATGTTGTGCGTCGAAACTACCTCGATGTGGTTTAGCATAACATTTTGCACATGCATGGAAATATAAATTAAGAGGTAATGACTCACCCCAACTCTTTGTTATCCCTTAGCAAATTTTCTACCCATCCTGTTCTTTGTCCTATTGGTTTCAGTTTTGTTAACAATTCTATAAATGGGGTTTAATTAATCAAAGCCTTTTGAAAGTCAATACACACAATATCAACTGCACATCATCCATTCTCTTGGTTACCTCTTAAAAAATCTCCATGCAAATCCAAGCCCATGCAGATCCTTTATTGTTCAATGTTGTCTAAGTGACTGTTAGCCATCTACTAAATTATTATTTCTAAAAGCTTTCCCACATTGATACTAAACTGACTGACCTGTCATTGACACAAATGCAGAAAAAGCTTGGAGAAACTCAGCAGGTCTGGCATCATCTATGGGGAGAGAAATAGAGTTAATGTTTTGAGTCCGGTATATATTTTCAAAACTGAAAGGTTTGGAAATTTTTTTTTGCTATGCTTATGCCTGCTATTGCCAGGTTTATCTTCTTTTTTGAAGCTGTGTGGAACACTTACAATTTTCCAGTTTCCGAACCCACCCCTGTATCTAATGGAAGAATGTAACCATAAGAGTGTCCATGATTTCTACATTCCGTTCTGTCAGCAACCTTTAATGCAATCCATATGGATTTGGTGAGTTAATCAGTGCCAGCTTTCCAAGTACCTTCTCTCTTCTTAGCTTTATTTATCTTAGCCCATACCTCAACAACCATATTAAGTCTATTTCCTTGGTAAACATCAATGCAAAGCATTCATTTACAATCTCAAATGTGCCTTCTTCCTAGGTCTCCATTTTGATCTCCAAGAACCCATTGTTCCTCTGTCAACCCTTTTATTATTAATAAGCCTCAAGAAAACCTTTGTATTGTCTTCTGCTTTTAGCCACTGTACATAAGCAAGCAGTTTTGTTTAGAATCAATAATCAAAGCCAATGTTGTTCTGGTTAATTTATATTGAAGCAAGTCCAATGGAACAAGTCAAATTGAGCTTCAGCTGTGTTAGTTTCTCCATAAATCACAACAATGTCCCTGAATAATATCACTTACCACAATCTGAAAGTAATCACTGGGAATCACCACTTCTCCATTCTTTATCCATCTCACAGTAGGGACTGGCTTCCCACTAACTGCACATTCAAACTCAATGTCCATACTCTCATAAGCATAGAGGTTGGAAGGACGCTTTAGGAAGTTTGGAGGAACTGTAATAAAAAGATACAAGGGTAATTAGTTTAAAACAAGCAACAGCAATCACATCTTACAGCACCTTAATGTAATTAAACCTTCTATGGTGCTTCATGACAACATAATCATGCAAAATTAGACACCAAAGCATATAAGGAGGTATCAGATATATGTCATTAGGTTAATCTGGAAGATAAAGCTAATCTTAGACATGCTGCCATGAAAATACCGATTCAACAATACCCATCACATTCACTAATGTCCTTTAGGGAAAGAAATCAGTCATCGTTACCTACATTTGACTCCAAACTGATAGTAATGTGGTTGACCAGTAACAACCATCTGAATTAGCCCAGCAAGCCATTCAGTTCAAGGGCAATTGAGGTCAGGATAGGAAAACACATGCTGGCATTGTCAGTGATAGCCATGACCGTGAATGAATAAAGAATAAAAGGATTACCCTACGCTCGGTAAAATAGGTTTATTTTACAGAACATCCTACAGGAGGTGAGAGAGTTACAACGGCAGTGAGGATTCAAAAGATAATTCCAGAATTTAGGGGCTTAATAAATTAAAAAATTAAATTTGTATGATCATATCAATATGAAAATTGTGCCCGTCCGCATACACCACACCACCACCCAGTTCCTATCCCACTTCCAAAAGGAGTCAGGGCATAAAGAATAACAACAACCTGCACTTGATAGAAAAGGCAATTCTTTTTTTCGATTTTTACCCACGGGCCATTTTGACATAATATGCACCAGTGATTTCTTGATAAGCATGTATCAGTTTCCCAATATTTGTTTCCATTTGAGGTTATTGAATTACATTGGGACACACTTGCCAGGTTAGCATCAACAAATGGTACAAACTGAATGGTTTGTGAATGCTGAATATAGGGATACTGAGAACACGCAGGGATTGCACCAGTCTAAGTTCATTTCTAACTACTTACTGCCCTCATTCCCATTTTAACCAAACTTAGAGACATTTGTAAAAATAGTGCACATTGGAATGTTATAAAATGTCTAAAAGATTCAGAGATGAACTTTGCTTGGCACAGTTTTGTATACTCAGGTTTTTCATTTATTTCCACATCTCTCATTTCACTATGGATCACCTTCTTTCCTTTGTTCTTTTACATTTCAGTGAAGGTTTCTGGTATGGGGTAACAAGGTGTAGAGCTGGATGAACACAGCAGGCCAAGCAGCATCAGAGGAGCAGGAAGGCTGACGTTTCGGGCCTCGACCCTTCTTCAGAAATGGGGGAGGGGAAGGAGGTTCTGAAATAAATAGGGAGAGAGGGGGAGGCGGATACAAGATGGATAGAGGGGAAGATAGGTGGAGAGGAGACAGACAGGTCAAAGAGGCGGGCATGGAGCCAGTGAAGGTGAGTGTAGGTGGGGAGTTAGGGAGGAGATAAGTCAGTCCAGGGAGGACGGACAGGTCCAGAGGGCGGGATGAGGTCAGTAGGTAGGAGATGGGGGTGGGGCTTGAGGTGGGAGGAGGGGATAGGTGGGAGGAAGGACAGGTTAGGGAGGCGGGGACGAGCTGGGCTGGTTTTGGGATGCGGTAGGGGGAGGGGAGATTTTGAAGCTTGTGAAGTCCACATTGATACCATTGGGCTGCAGGGTTCCCAAGCGGAATATGAGTTGCTGTTCCTGCAACCTTCGGGTGGCATCGTTGTGGCACTGCAAGAGGCCCAGGATGGACATGTCGTCTGAGGAATGGGAGGGGGAGTTGAAATGGTTTGCGACTGGGAGGTGCAGTTGTTTAGTGTGAACTGAGCAAAGACAATGTAGTCGAGGAGAATACTGAGATACAGTCTATTAGACTAGACGGGATTGAGGTTCATAAGGAGGAGGTGTTAGCAATTCTGGAAGGTGTGAAAATAGATAAGTCCCCTGGGCAGGATGGGATTTATCCTAGGATTCTCTGGGAAGCTAGAGAGGAGATTGCAGAGCCTTTGGCTTTGATCTTTACATCGTCATTGTCTTCAGGAATAGTGCCAGAAGACTGGAGACTAGCAATTGTTGTCCCCTTGTTCAAGAAGGGGAGTAGAGACAACCCTGGCAATTATAAACCAGTGAGCCTTACTCCGGTTGTGGGTAAAGTGTTGGAAAGGATTATAAGAGATACGATTTATAATCATCTAGAAAGGAATAATTTGATTAGGGATAGTCAACACGGTTTTGTGAAGGGTAGGTCGTGCCTCACAAACCTTATTGAGTTCTTTGAGAAGGTGACCAAACAGGTGGATGAGGATAAAGCGGTTGATGTGGGGTATATGGATTTCAGTAAAGCATTTGATAAGGTTCCCCATGGTAGGTTATTGCAGAAAATACGGAGGCATGGCATTGAGGGTGATTTAGCGGTTTGGATCAGAAATTGGCTAGCTGTAAGAAGACAGAGGGTGGTGCTTGATGGGAAATGTTCATCCTGGAGTTCAGTTACTAGTGGTGTACCT